TATTGATTTTGCTGTCTGGTATGAGGATAACCAAAGCTATCTATATCTCCTGGAGAATGAAAAGAGGATGAAGATATTCATGCATGCAGAGCAGGGCTCCAGGCAGTTGGCAAATGCACATGAAGCTCATGAAACACCTTGGCATCTGTCCTGGTGCTAGGGCTGATGCAGAGGTCTCACACAAGGGCTGCTGCAGGGGCTGTGCACAGGCATTGCCCTCTGCCCCAGCTGGGACTGCCTCTGACAAGCTAGAGGGGAGCACTTCTTGTGTTCTCTTGGGAACCCAGGCACTGGCCTCCACATCTGTCCTGTGACAAAAATGTCTCTAAAGTTGCCCGAGTGTCCACTCACTCACTCACTCACTCACTCACAGACTCACTCCTTGGGCTGCCAAGGATTGCTGCAGATGGGAGAATTCCATGGTAACAGCAAAATTTTCCCACATTCCCAAGGTATGAGCAGCTTTCTGCCTGTTAACATAGACCTGCATTTGGTCTAGGCTTCAGGTGAGATGGGGCTTTTCTGTACCATTGCCTCACCATTACCACTCCAAGCCAAACTGTTTTATTATCAGTGGGGAGACAAGCAGCCTTGGTGCACATTTAGAGACGATTGTGCATCTGGTGATGGCCAATATGGCTACAGTGCCTGCTGAGGAGCTTTGAGGGTCATGAGATGTCGCTGTGTGATGGTAGATGCCCAGAGCAGAGTTACTTATAGCTCATTTGCTCTTAGCCAGGAAATCAGGCAGCAATGAGCTGGGTCTTAGTGACGTAGATATATATAATGAAGCTGTACCATATGTTCCTTTCAGAATTCCTATAATTTCATTTACCTAATTTAATATGTTTGGCGTAACATAGAATATATACTCAACATACTGACATTCACAGCAGATACTTCTAGCAGACTAAAAGGTCTCAAGATTGTCCACAGAAGGACGCAGAGCCTGTCTTTACTCAGCTAAAATATCCATATGAATTTCAATGAACATTCTGTTTCTTGATGAGGAACATGAAAAAAGGCCATCTATTTCTATTTTAGCCTAATAACCATCCTTCTGTCACTAAGACAAGTGAGCTTGAAACTGCTTCAAAATTTTCTTTTTTTTCTCTGATCCATCATTATTTAAAGAATAATAATAAAAACATTTAATGCTCAAAAGCATTTACTTAAAATCCTGTCTTCTTAAAGGATTACACTTAAATGTCACTTCTAAAAAAAGACGTATCTAATTTCACCATTGTCTCTCTGAAAGGTTAAGTATGTAGGGAAAAATTAATGCTTATGTTGATGTACAGATTATCTGTCTTGTCATTCAGTTTGATATTTTTCACAGACTATTTCAGTGAATGACAGATAAATTGCAGTTACAACTGATTCTGGATTTTCCCTCAAGAAAAAGGAAATAGAGGGGTTAAACTGCCTCAAGAGCTATAATTTCAAAACATTTTTAAGGGCTGGGGATTTTTGTCATAGACTTATATTTGTGTTTTGGGGAGAGAGCAAACTCCACGGCACATAGTGAGAATTTGTTTAATATGTAAGTCTTGAAAAGCAATGACTTTTTGATAGAAATAGCTTAATGCTCTCTCAAACTCCAGACAGGCCCTCACATGCCTCATATTTATGCAGATATGACTGACTTAATGCTTGAATGACACCATTTGCATTTTCCCTCTCAGGAAATACCGTGCTAATGCTCAGGACTGGAGTCTTGGCAGCGCATATTAAGCTGCATAGGGAAAGTCCCCAGCTCCCTGGGATTTGGGTGGGGGAATGTGTTCTCCCACAATCATTCCCAAAGACTACACTTATGTAAATAAAGATGCATCAAGTTCTTCCACCTCCACTTGAGCTTATATATGAAGTACCTTTCCAGTCAAATTATATATTATAATTTTATATTATATATATTAATTATATGTTCTGACTCACCATGGTGTAATGACTGGCTTTGTCTCTGAGGGAAGAGCAGTAGATGTTTGTTAGCAAGGCTTTTTACACAGGCTCCCAGTTTTTTTGCACCAAGTTTGTGCTAATATGGTCTGGAGGGGGAGGTTAAAGCCTGATTAGATGATGAGGCTCGGTAGGCTCCATGTTTCCTGGTTGAAACAGGATGCCTGCAGTGAATGGGATACCCATGTCTATTCTGGAACCTGTCCTGTCCAATGGCTTTACCAGTGGAGGAGTGTGGTCTCACCAAGTTTTCAGATGACACCAAGCTGGGGGACTGGGTGATACACTGAGGTTTAAGGCTGCCAGCCATAGGGACCGAGACAGTCTGGAGGAATGACACAATAGGAAACTTAGGAAATTCAACCAGGACAAATGCCAAATCTTCATGCACACATGAAGGAAGAGGGCCCTGCGGTGATGTAGGCCAGGACTTACTGAGCCTGGTGGAAAGATGGCTGTGGGGGCACACAGTAACCCAAGAGAAGCCACCCAACACCCATAGGGAGGTGGCAGGAAATGGAGATGAATTCTTCGCGGTTTTTCTTGGTGGGAGGATCAGAGACAGTCGTCATTAATTGAAAAAAATAGATCAATTGTAAAGAAAAGTCATTCCCTCTTGGGACAGTCAGGCAGTGACACAGGCTGCTCAGAGATGATGTGCACCTCCATCCTAGGAGGTTTTCAAAATTGGGTGAGATAAACTTGTAAGCAGCCTGTTGCCTTATGACTGATCCTGCCTTGGGTAGGAAGTTGGACCACATCTTCTGAGGCTGTTTCCCACCTGAATTATCCTGTGGTCCTAAACCAGCTTCTGATAATGAAGTGTAGCCTGAGATTAGAGGACTTCTTTTTACATATATATAGCTCCTGTATTAGGTGGGAGTGGCAGATGAAACTTGCAGCTCCTAGCATGTTTTTTGGAAGTTGACTAAGACCTCTGACATGTATGTTTACAGTGAGCTCCAGAACACTGGGTGGGCTGCAACACAGGAAGTATAATCACCCAAAGAATGAGATTTTGAAATAAATTTCCAAATGTATTTGTTGGGGGAAAACTGCTTAATTGGTTCTAAAATACAGCTTCATAAATTTATGAACGGGATTATGGTATACGATTGCCAGCAATGGCAGGGGAAGAATTCAGTGACCCAGGACTGTGTGCAAGCTTACCTCTTTTGTTTAGACAAATGCAAGGCCAAACTCCTCATCTTCAAGAATAAATAAATGGAAAATTAAACATGGTAAATATTGTAAATATTTCATTGACACTTCAGACTGTGAAATCGAAAACAATCTTTTGCCGGTTGGAAGTTATTAGAGTTTGTAGCTGTGAGGCTTGATAACCATGATAATAAATGGTATTTATATTCTAGTGCAAAATGGATATCAGAACCAAAATGCACAAATATGGACAAACCTAATTAAGCTGTGATTGGTTTATTCATATCACAGCAGCTGAAGGCTATATGATAAACAGCTTCAAAGCAGGTGCAGCATACGTTATTGGTTTGATTATTAAAAATTGACGTTTTATTCAAGCCCAAATTTTAAAAAGGAGATTGTATACAAATTCAGTCATGCTATAATGGTATTTCATCGCAACAAAACCCTTATTTTCTTCACGAAGTAATTGCCTAATTCCAGTTTGTCATGATAAATCAAGCCTGAAGCCAAGCACAGGAAGATCTAAAAAAAGTCAAAATGCTCTTCATGATACACGGTCCAGGATATAACCTTGCAAGAGTCAAATATGGAATAGCAGCACACATATTTATAGCCAGGTCACAGAAACTTTTTATAGCTAACCACAGTTTCAGTGGAAGGAAAGACATGTTTCCACAGTAATGCACTGTACAAAGGCAGCATTTTTCAATTGAGATACACCTGCCAAAGATCTGACTGCACTCAGGGGAGCCAGTCAAAGCTGTGTTTACACCTCCTTCAGTTTTAATAAAGCAGCAATCCACAACCATAACAGGCACATTTCATACTTACTGTGAGGATATATGGGGTGCTGCTGACTTCCTGCAGCAGGGTTAGGTAAAGTCCTGAGTTCTCACAAGAAAGGAAGAGCCTTAAAACCTGGAATCTGGAGGGAAGAGCTCCTGCTTCTGCTGGTGCTACTGGAAGAGCGTGCAGGGAGGCACATCCCCCGTATGGCTGGTACACTCCTCAGTAGAAGTGCAGTCAGATGAGTTGGGGCTATTATGGGCTAATCTGGGAGTGGTAAGGTACAATTTTGATTTTGCTGCACATCACCATAAAGCAAATAGTGCTCAGCCTATAATGAAACTCAATAAAATTCCATTGAGTGATGTCAGGATTGATCACTGTAAGCTGACATTGCTATTTACACCTTCCTCCAAAAATCTGCCCAGTGCAATGTACAAAGTACTGGCATGATGCCAGATTATTCAGCTCTAAGTGTTATTAACCACCAGAATTGCAACTGAAACATAGATGGTAACATAAATATACACAACAGGAATATAATCCTGGGAAAACAGGATCAGAAAAACAAATTTGAAGGGGAATAACATTAGTTTAGTTATGATTAAATAAATTAGTTATGATTGAAAACCCTTTACAAGTTCCCATGAATTAAGTTCACATTGCTTTAAAAAATAAAAGATTGATTTTTAAAGTTTTTATGTACAGTGCCAGCTTCTTGTGCAGAGAATGCTACCTGGTAGGTATTTGAGTTACTGGTATTAAGAAGTAAAGGCTTATTTCAGTTGGCTAAACTGGAATATACAGTTTTGTGTGAAATTCTGAGTCCTTAGCAGACAGAACAAAATAGAGAGGGTCTTGCTGAAATCCTTCAGGATACCTGACAGCAGCAGGCAAAAATGTGGAATATGCCAGAATGTCTCCAGTGGCAGGAGATGTCTCTCCTCAGGCAGTGTAACTGAACCCTAACCATGTCCGTGTTTTACAGGGTAAAAGGATACAGCATGGTTATAAAAGTTACGAGTATTTCTGAGAATTTTTCCAGTGGGGACTTGGGATGGAATTGTTTCATCTACTAGGACAACCATGCATTGCAAGTATTGATCAAGGAAAAATTTATTTACAGAGAATTTTCAAATACAAACATAAAATAGCACATATTATATATATATATTTTACAAAAATGAATATTGAAATAATAAACATGGTACAGCACAATACAACATCAATGAGCTAAACACAACAGCAACAGAAATCTATGTCTGGAAGAAGTTTGCTGTTAGTCATACATAACCAACAGAGCTCTACAGTACCGTGAGTGGAATTTCCAATGGACGAGAAAACGTCCATTTGCTGCATTTCATAAAAAGTACTATAGTAAGGGTACATATGCCAAGTAATTATGTTGCATTTTGTAATAATGCTGAAAACACAGAGTCTTAATAAAACTTATATAGGGCTGAATAAGCCTGTGGATAAATGTTTGGGGAAGAAAAATGTGTAGAGATTATACAAAATACTGATAAAGTGGCTTATTGGTCCTTTTATTAAGTTTAATGCATACATTAAAAAGTGTTGCAACACCGAGTCTTAAACCACCAGAGAGCAGTTAAAAAAACCCAAAAAAAACTAAAAACAAAAAGAAGAGAAATTTAAAAGGAAAAGAAAGAAGAATCGCACCAAAAAAAGTTTCCTCTCTACTTATTTTGTGCCATGGTCAACATCTGTGCGTGCATGTGTGCTTTCAGGAGCGCCGCACTGAGGGGCTGCCAGGCACTACCCCAGCACCTGGGCGCTGCCTCCCCTCACCAGCCTGTCCAGTAATTGGTGCATGCAGGATTTCACCATTTGCCAAAGCAGAGTTTTCCTTGCTTATATTTTTGTGGAGCAGACCTTGAGCAGGCTCGGGTGAGAGAGCCTGTCCCTGCGTAGCCCAGCCGGGTGGCTTTGCACCGCCTTTCACCTCCCTGCCACCCTGGGGCCGCCCGCCGTCCCACTCCTGAGAGAAAGCACTTGAAAATTCCTTGTTTGTTGTTGTTGTCCAGCAGACCTGGGCGGGCCTGGCAGGGCCGGTGCCCGGGGCCGGCTCAGTAGGGGTATTGCTTCTGTTTCTTGCCCGAGAAGCAGGCCAGCCAGGTGCACACCAGCATGGCGGCCGCCGCGCCCCCGCCCGTGCAGTAGTAGGCCCAGCCGATGTGGCATGTCCCTGCAAGGCAAACAGAGGGACACGGGTCAGCATTAGATGGCAGAAAGCACCGGCACCACCACCTTCTCCTTTCTGCCCACTTTCCTGAAATTTCGGCCTGCTTGTATGCCCACCTCAGACAGGGAACACGGGGCATAATTCGGGCTCTGCCTCTGCAGCGGGGGCGTATAACCAAGGGCATGGGGGACCTGCTCGCATCCCCCTCACACAGACATCAACCCTGACCATCCGCAAAGACGTGTGGCGTCAGGGGATCACCTGCACGGCAGACACTGTGGGAATGGAAGCATAGAGCCCAGAAATAAAAAAATAGACAAGTTTCCCTATCCCCAGCCAAGGTCACAACTCATTGCTGAAAAATTCATCCATCTTCTAGACAATGAGTATCACAATATGGCTTTGAATCCATTTAAAGGCCTCAGTGTCTTTATATAGTCAAACTCATCAACAATAAACGGTGCTGGGGAATCCCATAGTGGACCATAAAGTGATTACTTCCCTTTCAGGTATTGTGCCTGCCATAGGGGAGGATATCAGGAAAACAGCAGCTGCAGCAGGGAGGAAGCCTCTTTAGAGATCTCCAAAAGCAAGGAGATGGCTGTTGCTGCTTCTCAGGATTTTAACCCATCTCAAAAGCAATTTTCACTTGGACTACATCGTCTTTGTCCTGTTTTTTGAGTGCTTGAGACTTGTTACCACTGAGGTTCTTCCTGTGTTGTTGACACCTCGGGTGGTATCATCCTGCTTTGGGCAGTAAGTGCATTCAGTAAGGCACAAGCAGCAATGAAATAATTCTTTCCCAACCTTCCCAAAAGCAGCAGAAACCATCCTTCCCTTCAGAGAACAGAAGGTAACAACAGAGCTTCCATCTAGAAATAGGTGTCATGTTGGTATTCTGTCCCAATGGCATCCCCCAGGGCCAGGCTTGAGGTTCAGGCAATTATCAGCTAAGCTAATCCTGCCTTAGGCACAAGAAACACAAAATGTCTGTTCATCTTAACATGTCCAAGGCATTCACACGCCTCAAGGCAGACAGCATTGCCATATATCCTGTCTGCAGGATATTGTCTGGCAGACTTTGAAAGGAAACATTAGTGGGAGGCAACACTTAACGCTCCTGGTCACTTTGAAGATCTCAGGCTGACACCACAGCAGGAAGCATAACACTTGTTTCATTTTTTTTCCTCCTAGCCCTCACAAAATTTCAATTAAAAAATGTCCAGTGAAACAAAGATACTGATGTAACCAAGAGAACTTGAGGACTTGCAGCCTTGGCTTGAGCTCACTAGCCACTCTCCTTAATGTACTGGAGCAGACAAAGAGATTTACTTGGTTTTGTCATCTAGTTGTGCTCTGTAGGTAACACCATTCTTACCTTCCTTACAGGAGTCCACACAGAGAGTCTGACTTCCTGAAGAGAAGGCCATCAGAAACCCTGGAGAGCTGTCAAGTGCCTGGCAATGTCCCTGACACTGACACTTGCCCAATCACCCAGCTGTCCATGGAGAGACCTGTCTCTGGGCCACCTATTGCTTTGCCTGAGCACACACCCTGTCCTTAGCTTCTGTTGAGAATTTCAAAAATAGACTTAAGCCTACACCAGATGTTTCAGCTCACTGGATTGCTTTGAAAATGATCACACTTATACCAGGGTAGGTTATTTCTTGTGATGAGATGGATTCCCTCTGGCAGGTCTTTTTAAATTGTGAAATATTCCAAAAACTACTAGAGAACTGTAGTTGCAACTTGACAAAGTTAATTTTTCTCATCATGATGTTTCCAGGTAGAGAAAATGTCAAAATACTACTTTAAAAAGAGTTTAAAGATTCACCTGGTGGCACTGCCCAAAGCTGTAACCTAAGCAGGAGAGAATGAAGTAAATTTGACCTTCTGCATGGTGTGACTTCAACTTTTGTACCTTGGCAGTGGGAGAGAGTATGCGTGATACATATTAAGAAGAAAGAGCTGTTAAATCAGTGTCAGAGATGTGTTCAACAGATACAATGCACACATTCACTCTTGGCTGAAGAGAACATTTATTTCTCCATACCATGCTCCATTTACCCAAAGGACCACTGCCCTACGTAATGCTCTGAGGCACAGGAGGCAGGCAGCCTCTTGATCTAACAAATGCAATGTAGTTCACAAGTGTGAGTTGGGTCAAGATGAACAAATGAAAGAATGGGAGAGCAGGCGAACGGATGAAAGAGCTGGCAGCTTGACCTTAGAGCAATAATAACACAGCAATAAACCTGGCCATTATTTCTAGCCCATGTCAAGAGCAGTGGGAGGCCTTGGAAAGAATAGTTTGATCTGTACTTGGATGATGCTGTGCAGAACGGAATTTCAAGCTGTTGTGCTGCAGAAGAGCCTGTATCAGGGCAGGTGTCTGAGGGAACAGGACTTAGCTATACTTTTCATTGCAAGTATAGTTAAGGATAGACACAAGAACAGAGATAATCCATCTCAAAGGTACTCATTGCAATGAATGCCTACATTGCATAGCCATGTGTCAAAATGAAACAATGTCAGGCCCTTTAAAACCCTATTTGCACAAGGAGGAAAATATTTTGGAGTCATTGTTTCTGCTTTGGTGTTCTCATTTTACAACATGTATGGCCTATTTTAGTCTACTGCATACTAAAGAAAGATTGTTTGTTATCAATAATTGGGTAATTTAATTGCAGTTTAAATTGTAAAATGACTTCTGCTTCACATTGATATAAAACACTGATTTTAAAAGGATCAGGAAGCTTTATAAAAGGCAGAGTTGAGAAGCTATTACTGCACTCACACCAGCAGGACTAGTCATGTTTCAGTAGTAAGCAAATGTTGAAGAGATTTGCAAATATTTTGGGGCTTAAATTCAACCATCAAGTTGAGAAGTTTGCATTCATAGAGCCTGTCATATAAAAGATTAGAAATCCAGTATTGCAGTTTCCTTTTTTTTTTTAATGACAAAGTTCTAAAATGAAAAGCAATACTACCTAAATACTTGATAGAATTAAAGCAGTTGTTGAAACCATGTCAATTTTCACACACACACAAAAGGGCACAAAAGCTTTGTTGTTTCTCTGAAAGATGCATTGGAATACACATATATACACAGGTAAAAGAATCCCCTAACACTGAGGGTGTGGAGATGCAAGAAAGATAGATGGGCTAGCTGAAGTGCTCTTCTAGGTGATAGAGATGACATGCATTACAGCAGCTTGCTTCCCTGCAAAGAACTGCTATTGCTTTTAACAAACCAGTCTTCACCTGACAGGTGAGTACAAAGGGAGAGGCTGTGACTTCAGCACTTAAGCACCTAGTTAATTCTAGGTTTGGTTTTTTTTTGTTTTGGAGTTTTTTTGTGGGTTTGTGTTTTTTGTTTTTTTGGTGGGGTTTTTTTGGTTGTGTGTGTTTTTGTTTGTTTGTTTTGATGGGATTTTTGTTTTGGCTTTTTGGGTTTTGTTATTTTTTCTGTTATTTTGTTTAAGAGAGCATAAATAATTTGAGCTCCTGGTTGTTCAGTAAAGTAGGACTTTACAATCCAAGTTGGCTCAGATAAGCTTGTAACAAGCCATTAAGAACTTTGTTTTCACCTTTGTTTTACTGGGACTGGCTGCAAGAGTATCAGGATGAACACTGAAATAATGGAATCATGGAGCTTGAAGCTATAGGCACAGAAGGCCATTTTCCAAGCAAATAAAGGAATGGAAGACCGGAAACATTGCACCCTTTTTTAAAAGGACTGAGAAAAATCATTGTCCCTGAGGACTGAGGACAAAAATTATGGTGAGAAGGACACTGTCAAAAGAAGATTTACAGAAAAGAGTCCTGTGGAACATAAAACAATATTTACTAAACCAAAAGAAATCAGTAAATGTGGAAAGGTAATTTTGCAGTGATTAATGGGCTTACTAAAAAGCACTTCCATGCCTTTTCCTGATTTCTAATGTGATCCTCAAGGCCAGGATATGCATCCCCTTGCTCCCCTCCTCCTCTTAAATATATAGGCAAATAAAGAACAAGACAAATTTGGGAGCAAGTAAAATTTGGCAACACACAATACGCAGATACTTGATCTACCATGGAGCTGTGCCAGGATTCAGTTGCCAAAACATAATTTTACCAGGATTTCTATTCATGATGTCTTATAAATAATTATCACATATAGTTATCGAGGTCTTGGAAATAACATATGGTTTCATCTAAAATAACCAATAATTGCCACTTATGAAAATATATCCTGAATATGAAAGTGTCTTGGATGCAAACCTGTTAATTGCAAGACTTAGTATCTTAAATATTTGTACCTTTTTTGCTGTTAATTTTAAGACTATCCTGGACTTGCAGTCTGGAGTATCTGGCAAACTCTAATCAATTAACCTTAAGTACAGCCTATTTTCCAAGTTGAAGGAGAAAAGGTTTCAGAATTAGCCAGACTGTAGAGAATAAATTATATACCTTCAAAAATAAAACCTACAATTCCTACTTCCAAGAAGTTGTGCAGGAATTCTAATTAACAGGTTCACATGAGAGTACAGTACTCTAGAGAATGTGAATTCATATAATCATTCAGGGTGCTGGAAAAGTAGTCAGAAAAAAAAAATATAAAGAGTGTGATGCTAAGGGATATACTGGGATTTGGAAATATGAAAGACATAAATGAATGCAAAAGATAATCAGCTAATTAGTAAGAAGGTAAAATTATTTTGAAACAAAGCCAAGATAAATTAAATAGCTGAAGATCTTTTTCTTGACACAGCAACAATGAAAAACTGTCATATGAAATCAGCTGCAAAAGTAGGAAAAGAAGTTGGAACTTGGAATACGTCCAGAAAGAACTAAAGTAGTTATGTGAAACAAAGAAAGAACACTATATAAGGTAAAATCTACAGCTAAGGAAACAGCCTGCTACAAAATAATGAATTCCGTGGAGCTGGTTACTTTTCCTGTTGCACAGATATTACTTTTTCAATGGATTTATCTTTTAAAAAAATACACAATTTTTA